AAAAAGGACATTAAAAAATGTTGGCCCTTCTAGAGGCTGTTTGGTTGCCCCTATAAATTACTGTCCTCCACTGCTGGGCTGCTGACCTGGTTGCCTAATGAACAGACCTAAGAGCAGTGGGGCCTGTTGATGTTCTGATGACATACCATGACCTGGTGCTTCCTGAAACTCCATGATAAAGAAGAAAGAGACAATTCAAACCCACAGGTTAATGGAGGACACCAGAGGGAAACATCATTCTCCCAGTAACAAGTGGCAGGACTCTGGTAACTGATCTTCATCAGGCTACTCATCTGGAGTCCACTAAACTTTGTGAGTTGATCAGAGCAGGGTATGTTTGTATGTTAGTATGGACAGTCTAGCGTGGGATGTCTCAGCCAGATGCCAGGTTTGTGCTCAAGTGAATCTAAAACAGAGAGCCCTTACCCAGAAAAGGGTCCAAATATGAGAGACCAACACCCCAGCAATCTCTGAGAAAATTGACTTCACCAAGATCTGGCCTGCTGGGGGAGGATAAAAGTACTTACTAGTTTTTATAGATACTAGGTGGATGGAAGTGTTTCTCATCCAGACAAAAATTGTTCAAACAGTAGCTAAAATCTCCTGCAGGAACTGGCCCCTGATTTGGCCTCCCTCTAGCAATGGGGTCTGACAGTGGCCTAGCTTTCATAGCCAAAACCTCTCAATTACTAGTTAAAGCTTTGGACATAGACTGAAAACTTAATTGTGCATACAGACATCAGAGTTCTGGACAGATCAAAAGAATAAACAGGGCTTTAAAAGAAACTATAACAAAATTCTCATTAGAGTCCAGAGAAGGGTGGATAGGCCTTCTTCCTTTGCTTTGCTTCAGCCTGCTGCACCCCATATAGGGGGAAACTTACCCACTATGAGATTATGTTTGGAAGACCTCCCCCACTGCTTCCCAGGCTCAGAGACCAGCAGTTGGCAGAACTCTCCAATCATTCCTTTCTCTAGTCACTACACATCCTCCATCATCCTCCAGTTCTCCACACAGGCTGCTCATTGGACTACCTGAGAGACCCAGCTGACCTCTGAGTTCACTGCCAGTTTCTCCCTGTTCAAGTCCAGTGACACTGTCTGGGTCAAGTGAGTAGCCAAAGGAGCACTGGAACTAACCTGGAAAGGACCCTACAAGGTGACTCTCTCCATTCCTACATCAGTGAAGGTAGCTGGCATCACACCATGGATCCACCACACCCAGGTCAAGAGAGCAGAAGCCACAGACACTACTGTCAAATGGACTGACAGTCTCTGGACTATGGTCCCATTGAACTTAAGGTTTCACTGGGCCCCAGACCCTTCCACTCCCTGCCCCTCCCCCTCCTCCTGGGTCTTGTGTTCTATACTACAGATATGAATAAAGGGTCATGGTCCAACCCCCTCTGCACTCAGATCTAGACTGGAAACTGAGGAAAATTGATACAGGGAAGGTATTAGCTAGTGTGACTTCAGACCAGCAACCCATATTCCATCTTGAGCTTTGTTCACTGATGCCCACTTTAAGTGTCTGGTTGTACAGAAAAAAGGAAAGATATGGGAATTTGTCTTGTGAGACAGAAATACAGTTTACAATTCTATGCATGTCCTGCAGCTGGCCCCTCTAGTTGCCAGAAACAAGGGAGTTTCCTTTACAAAAATTGAGGTTGTAAAACTGAGGCTTCCTGAAAATTTCCTTTAAAAGATTCTGGCCTTTGGGAAACAGGAAAAACCTGGGGAATCCGACTCCATGCCACAGGAAGGGACCCTGGGGATAGAGTTTATCACTCACAGCCAGAAATCATCCAGGATTGCTGGTTATGCTTTGATACCCAGCCCCTATACTGCCAGCCCGCTGACTGACAACTCACTGTGATGGGGGCAGCCCAAATTAAAGTCAGAGGACTTACAAGGGGCTGAAACGTGTGTAATATCCAAAACCGTTAACCTGGGCACTTCCACTTATTCTGATGCCTGCTATTCTGACTTATAAATTAATTCATCTGGATAGCAGCAATATCACCGAGCCCCTGAGACTACTTGGTGAGCATGTACCAATGGTTTGACTAAATGTGCCTGTTCTAATGCTTTCCAAACTAAGCAGACAGGTTGATCTGATCTGGAGGTATTAAAACAACAGATTCCCTTGCAGAAATGATCCTACAAAATTGGAGAGCCTTCAATTTACTTCTCATGAGATAAAAAGTATATATGGCTTTAGAAAAAGACTGTTGTTTCTATGCTAACTGATCATAAATAATTAGAAAAAATTTTACCAAGATTAAAAAACAAAAACAAAAAACAAATAATTGGTACCAGTCTCCTTTCTCTTGGGGCCCCCTGGCTAACTACTCTGCTATCAACATTGGCTGGACCTTTAATTCACATTCTGAATGGCTTAATAGAGAAGTACTTCATCTTAAACTGCATGGCCAATTATTTATGAGTTCAGTAAAATTAATGGTCCTTAGGACTAACTATATCTCTTAAGAGTAGGATGAGTCCATGATTTGACTCATCCACTAAGGCCAGTGTGGAATGTAACAGGGCCCCAGACCTTAGTAGGTCTCCAGACCTTAGCACAATTGACTCCATGATGGAAGTGCCATTTAGGCCATAAAACTCAGCACATAGACAGCACCACTCGCCAAAACTAAAACAAAAACCTAATCCATCAAAGTCTATAGTTCTTGGAAAGTCTCTGTTAGGATCCTACCCTCACTCCTGTACATGCACAGCTCAGGGTCTTGCGTCTTACATCATCGGGGGTGCTGGTAACTATGTACATGTGGCGTGGTCACGACATCTGTGCCTTAAAAGCCAGATGCAAACCCCACGCTCTCTCTGCTCTCTGCTCCCTGCTCTTCTGTTTCCATCTTCCCCCACCCAACCATCTTTCTCACCAGGCCTGGTCCCCTCTCCCCTGCCCTTTGCCTTCTAATAAAGCTCTGAATACCGATATTGGGTTCTGTCGTGACCGTGACCTTTCCACGCCGCAACCAGTGCCACCACCAGCGCCGATTATCATCCTTTCATTCTCTAACTGTACTAACCTTGTTTTCTTTGGCTTCTGTAGTTCTGCTTCTAGCTAACTGTTCTTGTTAACTGAAGTGTGTCAATCTAGGACATGGATTTTGTGCTTAAAATCTCACCTGAGATAGGGTTGGGGCCACACTGGGGTCCCAAACACTCTGTGTAGTCACAGGCTGGCTAATGAAGACTTTCTATTGGCTTAAACCCATGTCTAAGCAGTCTTCTCTGATGGATACCCCACAACAAATTTGAAGGCCAGAACGTGGGTTCGCACACAAAAAAAAAATGAAAGAAAGAAAAGCAAAATGAAGGGAAGAAGAAAGGGAAAGAGGGATGGAAAGAGAGAGAAGTAGAAAATAGTTTAGTTTGCTGACATTAGTGATATTGGATCTTGTCACTATAGGCACGAGCTAGCACGTGGGGTTTAGCCTTTTCCACTTGAGTTAACTTTCTCTTAAGGCTCTAAGGCTAAGACGGCTGTCACTTTAAGGGCTATTTAGCCTTTGAACACTCCTTCTTCTTCTGCAGATGTTCACATTTTAGGAGGAAATGGGTGGAGCAATAGAACGCATGCAACATGGAAGTAAATGAAGTGAGGAAGGTGACGAGGGTACAAGAAAGAATGAGGGAAAGGGAGGAGAGTCAAGAAATCAAATTACAGTTGAAAATGCCACAGCGAGCCTTAGTACTTTGTATGCCAATTAAAAATAATATTCTAGCCCACTGTGGTGGCGCACACCTTTAATCCCGGCACTTGGGAGGAAAGGCAAATGGGTCTCTGTGAGTTTGAGGTCTGCCTGGTGCACATAGTAAGTTCCCAGCCAGCCAGGATTACATAGTGAGACCCTGTCCAGGAAAGAAAGAGGAAGAGGGAGAGAGAGAGGGAGAGAGAGAGGGAGAGGGAGAGAGAGAGAGAGAGAGAGAGAGAGAGAGAGAGAGAGAGAGAGAGAAAGGAAGGAAGGAAAAAGGAAGGAAGGAAGGAAGGAAGGAAGGAAGAAAGGAAGGAAGAAAGAAAAGACATATTTTAAAAAATGAAAGTGAGACATATCAGAGGAATCAAAACCCTCTATAAAGACACTTTGGTATAGTTAGATAAACACTGTTAGGTACTGTGAAGAATTTAGTGTTGGGTCTTTATTGTAAGCATCTTTGTTTGTTTGTTTGTTTGTTTGTTTGTTTGTTTGTTTGAGACAGCATCTCACTATGCAGCTCTGGCTGTCCTGGAACTCACTGTATAGATCAGGCTGGTTCATAGAGATGTGTCTGCCTCTGTCTCCTGAGTACAGGGATTAAAGGCATGTGCCACCATGCCCAGCTAGTGTATCTTTTAATGGTTGAATTTCTTTCAGTAAGCTTGGGGGTGGGATTTGATCTTCTGATTGACAGAGGTCAGACCCTTTCATTGCCTCTAGTTGCCTTGATTGGGAAGCTGAGAGTAGAGCAGTCAGTCTTTTGGAGTTAGGCAGGACTGTCATCACAGCAACCATGGCACACTGAGGAAACTACACTACAGCTGTATGCAACCACAGTTGATGCTCAAGTCAAGATTCCTAATCCGCGGGTCTTGTTCTAGTCGGAACTTCTCCTAGACAGCCTGCATTGGCTTTAGAGCACTCCATTCTGGGCAAAGGAAGCCTTCATAAGCTCAGTGTTACCATGTTCCTCTTTGCTTGGGAAAGGAGGGGGAGGACTCCCACAATGACTGGGCAAAAAGCTAATGAATGGTGCTAAGGCCAGGCTTGTGATTCAGTTAATAGGGCAGATTTGCAATTGGTGGAGCTAGAAAATATGCACACGCAACACTGGAAATGGTGGAATTACAATCTGTACACAAACACGCTTCATCCTTTTTCTTGCTATAAAATCAACGTATTCACTACTTTTTTTTTAGGTGGTTCTGACAGGTTTCTTATTATACACCACTCCACACTCCCAGTACTACAATAGGCTCAATAATGACGTCGAAATAGACTGGGTATACATAATCTTTATTATTCAGATTTTTAATTTTTTTTTAGATTTCGTACATGAGTACTGTATTTACATCATTCCCACCTTTCCCTTCCCCCCAACTCTTCCTGTATCCTCCCAACTCCCTCCCAAGTTCATAATATCGTCTTCTTTAATTAGGATTGTTACATCTATATTGATTTACATACATATGTGTATAAAGAAATACAGCTGGGCAGTGGTGGTGCACGTCTTTAATCCTAGCACTCGGGAGGCAGAGGCAGGTGGATCTCCGTGAGTTCAAGGCTAGCCTGATCTACAGAGTGAGTTCCAGCACAGTCAGGGCTACATAGAGAAACCCTGTCTCAAAAAAACAAAAACCAAAATGATAACAACAACAAAAGAATGGAGAAGATGGCTTCAAATTCATGACATACTGTTTAGGCCAGCTATAAATTGTGGAAAAGAAAGTGAACTGCATGGAGAAATAGAAAATTAATGAACCCTGGAGATGATCAGAGGAAAATCATATGGCCCTTGAGAGACAACTGCTGTGGGATGTTCTGTATGGCAAATGTGTTGCTGATTGGTCAATAAATCAATCACTGATTGGCCAGTGGCTAGGCAGGAAGTGTAGGCATGACAAGGAGGAGAATAAAGCTGGGAAGTGGAAGGCTGAGTCAGAAAGACACTGCCAGCCGCCATGATGACAAACAGCATGTGAAGATGCCGGTAAGCCATGAGCTATGTGGCAAGGTATAGATTTATAGAAATGGATTAATTGAAGCTGTAAGAAAAGTTAGCAAGAAGCCTGCCACGGCCATACAGTTTGTAAGCAATATAAGTCTCTGTTTACTTGTTTGGGTCTGAGTGGCTGTGGGACTGGCAGGTGAGAGAGATTTGTCCTGACTGTGGGCCAGGCAGGAAAACTCTAGCTACAGACAACAGAGAATATCAGCTATTGACAGCTCTCCAGAGCCTCTGAAACTTTATTTGACTACATTTCCTTCCTTTAGACTCAACAGAAAAAATACAATAAATGTGAGCTTAAAATACTCAGCCACACCACTGACATATGCACATTTTAAAGTCTTTTTAAAGATTTATTTACTTTTATTTTATGTGTGTTGGTCTTGTGCCTGGATGTATGTCTGTGTGATGGTGCCAGATCCCCTGGAACTGGAGTTTAAGACAGTTGTGAACTGCCATGTGGGTGCTAGGAACTGAACCCAGGTCCTCTGGAAGAGCAGCCAGTGCTCTTAATTGCTGAGCCATCTCTCCAGCCTCCTTTTAAATCTTTTTTCAAGCTACTTTATGTGGGTTTTAGCTTTTTTACAACTCAAAAAGACCTGACTAGAGAATGAATTAAAAGACAGTGAGAACAATAACAATTTGCAGAGTAAAATAAGGAGAGACAAGGCTATCAGACTTCCGTTCCGTTGCTGGAAAACTTTTCCCAAGGGCGATGAAGATCCTTTGAAATGAGCCCTAACAAATTCTTTTTCTTAACTTGGTTTACAGTCTTTTGTAATTCAATCACTTATCTTAGATCCCTGATGTTTTCATATGAGAATGAACACTTTCTTTCAACCTGTTTGGTTAAAAAGTCATCAGCAGGGAGTCAGAAGATTAATTTCAGGGTTTTCTTTTTTTTTAGTTCTTTCCTTGTTTTCCCTCTTTCTTCTCCCCTTCTCCCATCCCCACCTCCAGAAAAATGAAACACACACTCACACTCTGTCAAAAAACATAAACAAGTGAACAATTGATAGGTACAGCCAGTTATTTGACTAGTGAACAGCCAACAAATTAATCTATGCATATACTTACACAAAGGTGCCCATCATTCTCTTCCCTGCATATGCTTGCCTTTAATTCTAATGAAAGCTTTTTTAGGACAGTTTTTTTAATGGTACCGCTGTTTATGACAGAGGTAATAGCTATGATACGCCTCCTTACTATATTCTTCGCGTGAGAGCAAATTAAGTGCTAAGCCTTTTATTCTTAGAAATAATAGTCATACAATTGTTTGCCTAGCTTCTATCAAAAGTCCTTAGTAATTTTAGAATTGGTCGACCTTTCTATGAACCTCCTAGAGGACTGTTGTCAAGTTCAACTCAGCGTGGTAAAATGTCTGCAAAGCACATGCACACTTCCTACTGTAATCTGTCGCTCAGCAATACAGAGTTTTACCTAGGGGAATACAAGTAGCAAGGTACATAATCAAGTTCAATGTGTGTTACTAAGAAACAGCTTGGAAGCCATGGCTTAATATTTCTCAACGCTTTTAGCTCCGTGGTTATATTTAATTGCATTCACTCCAGAAATACACCTCTCCTATCTATCCTGATGCACACCTTTAATTGAATGGCATCCACTCCACAGCCAGAGAAGGTTGGTATACAGACAGACTGGAATGATGTACAAGAAGAAAACCAACAAAGGTTCAAGTGGCTGTGATGAGAGAAGTGGCATTGTCCAAGATTATACAGAACACTCAGGAGCCTAGAGGGATTAGTGTGTCTATTTCTAAAGGATACAGTTGGTATGGGAACAGAGGAGGGAGACTGTTTGGGCGTTTGTATTTCCTGGGTGATTTTTAAGTGTCACTCACGATAAAAAACGTATTCAGTGTAAGAGGTCCAGATCCTGTCATCTGTTTGGTCGTGTGTTACAGTGCAGGTGCCAGTGGAGTTGCATGCTACCATGTGGAAGCCAGCATCAGCTAGTTTGTCGAAGGCTTGTTCCAGAAAAGTGAATTTGAGGTAGTATCGAGAAGTGTATCGCTCGGGAGGGCGGTCTGGGTCTCTGCTCTCATTCAGAGTGTCGCCGAACACTTCTTTGGCTAAGGAGATCTTACCACACACCATGATTCTGGCCACACGGCGGAATTTGGCATCTGTTTGGCTGTCCCTGCCCAGAGTATAGGAGCCTCGATAACCAATAGTGATGAAGCCAGCCTTCTTGAGCTCAGAACCAGTGGCAGCTGTCAGAACCAGGGAATTATCAGGGCCACTGATATGAATGGTATTAGTTGAAGAGAAATTAAAAGTGGTGTCGATGCTGGGGGAAAGCTCTTCCAGATCAATTTGACATGAGTCGTTGCCAACTGAGCTGAGCTTGTTCATTTTAAGGGCCAACATCTTGGCCAGTTCTGGCAACTTAAAGTATTCTGCTTCCCTATGGAGCCGGCCACACTCTGGAAAGTGGTCAGGAAGCACTACCTGCAGATCTCTCATGTAGTCTAGGACATAACGAAAGAGAAAACCATCTCGATCTATGAAGAATCTCCCTTTGTTGTCCTGGATCAGGGAGCAAGGGTTCTTTACACTAAACATTTCCCAGAGCCGGGAACCAGGAATGCTGATCAGAGTAGGGTAGCGAGTTATGTATACCTGGCCACCTACATTGAGTTCAATAATCTCAGGAAAATTGCTGCAATCCTCAGATGGTTTGACACAACTTGACTTTTCTGGCATGGCCATGTTGACCTGAAAAAACAAAACATTACTTTTGAGTAAAAATGTATAACATGGAGAGTCTGTTCATAAGCATCCATTTTCTGCATACATATATTCTGTCTGTTCATAAGCATCCATTTTCTTCATACATATATTCTGTAGATCAAGAAATCCAAGGCTGGGGAGATTGCTCAACCTGTAAAAACACTAGCCATATAATCCTGATGAGTTGTCTGATCCCGAATCTGTATCAAAACACGGATTCAGTGCCATATATCTGTAATACTAGATACCTATAAGAGGTGGGGACAGGAGATTTGCTAGAAGTTCACGTGGCAGCTAGTGTAGAGTGTGTAGCACAGCAGAAACAAGAAAGATTCCATCTCAACAATGTGCAAGGAGGGAACTGACTTCTGAATCTTGTCCTTTGACCTCCACATGTAGACCATGGTACACACGCATTCACACACATCTCACATTTATTGATTGAAAAGGAGAAAGAATAAACTCATGCAAAAGCATAATCATTTGCCCATTAACTATGTTAACTTGAGAGCAGCAGCATAGAAAAGACTTCATGGTTTGGCTTTGCCATCTTTTCCCCCCTTTTGAGAGCTTCTGTCACCCTAGGCAAGAGCTCTACCACCGAGCAAAAGCCCAGCCCTTTCTACGTTCAGAATTTCTTCTGAAATGCCCATGTGTCAGACAATATCTGTCATTTCATGGCAGGTTACCATAGTTTATGCAAGACCCCCTTTCTTCGATGTTTCTGTTTTACCACTTTATCTTCTCATCTCATTCACGTGCCTGTCTCTGACCCCAACACAGACAACCACGTTGGTATAGTTAGTGTGCATCTTCTTATGTATGAATTCTTACAAAATGAATTTTGGGGTTTTAAATATATATGCTATTATATTATATATTTCCTCCCTGAATTTTTGACTCTTGGTATTATATTATTCAGATACCTTTTGTTGATATATATATGTATATTATTCTCTTGTTTCTAATTATATTATAAGACCTTGATATGTTCATCTAACACATTTTATCAACCACTCCCAGTGGCTGAAGCCTAAATTGTTTTAAACTCCCTGTTGTAGTACACATCCCTGTACATGTTGTCTATGATTTCCAGGTCTTGGCCACTTCCTGTCTTCTAATCTTCAGCTCCATATTGGCAGCCCCTTGCTGACTGCGTTGGCAGCACCTCAATTCTAGCAGGTTCAAAATCGCCTTTGTGTATGTGAAAGTGTTTTTTTTAAAAAAAATAGAAATCATTATTTGTCTTCATGTTTTCAGCACAAATAGGTCACATTCTTTGACTTTTCTCCTGTTAGAAGCACAATTTTACGTCATCTACATTGACATTCTAAATGTTGAGTCATCGTATTGATTCATTCCTCCTTATCCATATATGTCACTAACCTAGAAACCATTCCTTTGTGATGTCTCTTGGACACACATTATTCCTACTGACATGTGTTTTATACTGTGCACTAATGTAAGACCCTCCTAACAGCTTGTCTTTCTCTGGCTGTTCCACATTCACATCTGCCACATACACATTCATTTTCATAAAATATTCTAAATTCTGATACCAGATCAGTTGCTATGCTATCTTCTCTGTTTACTTACTGCAATTAAATGGTTCCAATTTACCTATATACTAAATACAAATATCTAAACTAGTTGCATCTCCTCTTTAACAACAAGATCATGTAACACTATATAGGACTTAGGTGCCGGGCCAACAGAGGCATACGCATGTTTTTCATACATATAAGTATTAGCAGATACAATCAAAAAGAGTCAGTAAAATGTAGTAGTTAATAACAAGCTCTGTGGTCTTCTGCTTGAGTTTAGATACCAGCGTAACTACTTTTTAGTTATATGTTGGACAAAGTTTTTGAATCTGTCACTGAACAGTTTGTGGATAATAAAAATAATTACTTCATCAGCTAAGAAAAATGCCCAGCACATAATTCGTCATTTTTACAATGAACACAGGTTAATAATATAAACTAAATTTAATTTAAAAAAATGAATCTGAAAGCTATGAGAAAATAAAATGAAGGCAAAAATATTGGTTCCAAAATTCCATAAGCTGGTCTTTGCTCTTTGCTCATTAATTCAAGTTCTCTTTCCCTTTGAAAGAATGGAGACATTAGGCACACTGGACCCATACCCAGTCCTTCAAGCTCATCCACTTTTTCATGCCCGTGTGCCTAAAACTTAGGATTCTGTATGTCTGAAATGTACTTTTTATTTGTTCTACTAATTCAATTCCTCTCTGCTCCTTTCTTGTGAAATCATAAAAGAAGCTGGCAGGTTTGAATTAGAATCCTGATTCTGCCAGTTATTAGCTGGGTAGCCTCGGGCAAACTGTGTTTTCTTCTCTGAGCCTTGATTTCTTTATCCAGAAAATGGATATAAAAAAAAAAAAACCTGATTAATAAGATGAGAAGGAAATTGTATATGAGGTATAAAAGTACTTAATACAGTGTGTGCTGTGTAATAAGTACTTATCAGATGATTACTTAATTAGCTTCCTGAGCTTGTCTTCGATCAGTGATCTCAACCTTCCTAATGCTGTGACCCTTTAATACAGTTTCTCATGTTGTGGTGACCCCAACCATGAAATTATTTTCATTGCTAATTCGTAATTGTAATTTTGCTACTGTAATGAATCGTAATGCAAGTATCTAATTTGAAGGATATCTGATATGCGACCCCTGTGAAAGGGTTGTTTGACCCCCAAAAGGGTTGAGAACCACTGGTTTAGAAAAAGTGGTGAAGGATTGCTTTCCACTGAGAAGGTACTCAGTGTGTCACAGCAATCCATTGAGATGCTGCTTAAATGATCCATCCTGTCTAACTTTCAACCCCATCCCTTTATATTCTGTGTTACTGTTGCAATTTAGAAATACTTGTATTGGAACACCTGACAGCATTCTGGAGTTGCGTATTTATGTAGCTGTCTGTGACTAATACAGCCTCAGATAGAAAGTAATCTCGATCTATCCTTCTTTGGGTCAGCAGCACCGTGAGCCTGGTAGGTAGCAAGATTGGAGTAGCCATTGGATGTTGAGTAAAGCACCAGCAAACTCATGTTATAATAATGCCATTAACTTCATAATCCCAGAGTAGATGAGTAGAAATCCATTTTGAATGCACGTATGTGCAAAAGAAACGTAACCGATTTTGTAGATTTCTGAACTCAAAAGGTGTTATTCTTCAAAAAATACTATCAAAAGTTGAAGATGTTTCCCCCCATTTAACAAACAGATCATTTTAAAAAACAGCAGTGTACATTTTTCTCCTTACTGCTTTAGATAAAGTTCTGTATAAGTCAACTTGAACTAGGCACTTAGAAACCACGCTTGCTCAAAAAGCATTGACTCATTGGGCCCACAGGTTAACTAAAAGCACGGTGAAAGTCGGATGCCTCTGCCTGCATTCTGCATTTGTCTGTCTCCTTTCCTTCAGCTGAAGGTACTCAGGTGAATCATTGTCTTTAATCTTTCCTCTTGAGTCACCTTGGATCCCAGGATTGGAATGGCAGAAACAGACCACCCTCCAGGAAAGGGGAATAATCCCTAACAGTCCATTTTGGATCAGAAACAAGAAGCAGCAGCACATTGATCCCTCCACACAATAGGGTTTCTTCAGGTCATCTTACTGGACCAAAGCTGAAATGGTCAAGCAGACCACATCTTGACTAGGGCTGTTTAGTTATACATGCCTTTTGCCCTTTGTACCCATTCTTCCTCTTCTCAGCGTGGAGCACTGAATACACCTGTTTGCACAATTACTTGTTTCTCTGTCATATTGGTGATACATCCTGGGGCCAGATGCTGTCAGAACCCAGACTTCAGTCATGAAAACTTCAGTTATTAGCCAATGATCCAAAATCTTATGAATCAGAGTTCTAGGGAAGTGGTTCTTAACCTGTGGGTCACGACCCTTTGGGATTTGAAGGGTTCTTTCAAAGGAGTTGCATATTCTGCACGTCAGATATTTACATTACGATTCCAAACAGTAGCAAAGTTACGGTCGTGAAATAACAACAAAATAATTTTATGGCTGTGAGTTACCACAACATGAGGAACTGTATTATGGGTTGCAGCATTAGGAAGGTTGAGAACCACTGCTCTGGGGAATCAAGCTGGGTAGCCTGTTTTGTCACTCATCTTAACAAAGCAGTGTTAGCTAATTTCAAAAGGACAGAGCCTTTACTCTGGGAGAAGAAATCAGAACAAAAGTCAGGACAGAACAGCACCAGAACTTCAATTGCTGCCTTTCTCAAGCATGTTTTTAAACATAAATAGAAATTTTACTCTGAAACTCTACTTGTGACATTATTCCTCACAGCTAGGAATCTCAATGTGTTTGTTTGGTTGGTTTGGTTTGTTTTTTGTTTGGTTGATTTTTTTTTTATTTTTAGAAAGAAAACGGAAGTAATTTCTTTAATAATGAACAAATCCCGTTGAAAACAGCCCCTTGTGCACTATGCCATGAAGTCAGGAAGGACATACTTTGCAAACAGGAAGATGTTTATCTGTTTGCAGGGTTTTGCAATGGATAACTTCTTCCTCCCTTTCTCCATCTCAGTGTTCTCTGCTGAGCTGCTTCTGCTCACGGGGACACAAGCAAGCAACAAACGAACACAAGACTTCTTTTTATCGAACCACCGGCCAGCTTCTGAAATGCTTCTTTTTTTTTTTTTTTTGTGAGGGGTCTGGGGGGCAGAGGGCAGCCTTTCAAGAAACCCTGAAATGCCTCATTTAGTCTCTTTCGTGAATACACCCGACTTTGATAAGGGTTTGTTGGTGGTGCCCTCGGTAAATCAAATAAGAGTCCCTGTAAGGAGGAAGGAAATGGGGTGACACAATACAAATGGCTTAAACCAGGTTGCAGAGAAGCCCACTGAAAGCAGCTGTCTTCCAAGCCCAGAAGAACTGAGTTGTGTGTTCTAGTGTTTCAAAGGCGATGAGGAAACTAACCAACGTCTCTCTCTCCCTTTCTGGCTCGGGATAATTCTACTTGTAACCAAGATCCATGTTTTCCAAAGACAAAAGTCAGTTACAGCAAAGTACACCATACTGTGTGCTCATCAATATGATACGAGACTGCCTGAAAATGTGCAGGAAGACATTTCTGAGAAAACTAGACACTTTATCAATAACCAGTTTCCAGTTTTACCAAGCTTGAAATCCCTATGCCCTAATCCCCCTTTTCGCCCTCCCTCCCTCCATTTTCTTCCGGAGTCCTTCACTTTTCTGTTTCTACTGGCTTCTATCCCTCTCCTCTTTTATACCAATGTGTTTTAAATATGCACTCCTTTGGAAGAACAAACCCACACATTTAAATTAGAAAAGCAATTCCCACCTTGTGTGCTGCCCCAATTCAGAGGTCCAAGAAATCAAAGTAGTTAACGGCTAATCTGGACGTGTAAGCAAAGGGGGAAAACAACTTTAAGAATTAAGTAACACTTCTTTGCCTCAGCAATATTCCCTTCTGCTTCCAACTAGCTTGTCTCTGTGACTTTTTATCTGCTCATAAAAGAATATGTTAGCGTTGAAACCCATCAAAATGTTTTACAAATTAACCGGATGCTGAAAACCAGTCTGAATTTCCCCTCAGAAAGCGCTTCGGCTGCTTCCGGAGCTCTAAACTGCCTTACAGACACAGGTTTCACAGTAGCTCCCCTCTCAACACAGAAACCACAGCCGTGCCTAGCCCCGGCGCAAATGCAGAAGCTCTGGGATTCCAGAAGCAATGGACTGGAAAGGGGAGACAAGGAGGTTGATAGCATAGTTACCTTGAATCTCCAGCCACTGAGGTACCGGCCAAGCGAAGCTTCACTGCTCTGAGAGCTCAGCTCCCTGAGGAATGTCTTTCTGTTCTTCCGCTCTCTTGCTGTGTGTGTGCTTTGGTGCTTGGGTTGAGTTTTCCTCTGTAAAACTAGCAGTCGTGGAAACCCTCCTCCCCTGCTATGACATACTTGACTTCCTCTCCAGCCCGGCCTCCTTGCTCTGCAGCCCTAGGAAGAAGCAGAGCAAAGGAAGGAGAAGGAAGGAAGGCACGGAAGGGGGAGGGGGCGGGAAACAAAGGTGGTGGTGGCGGTGGTCGGAGAAATTTTGTTCATCCAGGTCCCAGCAGAGCAAGCAAACATTTTGCAGTGACAGCTCCATGAATGATTTGTAAGGGTTTCGTTGTTTGTTTGTTTGTTTCTGAAGCAGGGCCTTCGTAACAAGCCCAGGCTAGCCTTGAAATTTACATCTTTCCGTGTCAGACTCTGGAGTGCTGGGATCGCAGGTGTGGACAACCACATCCACTCTGAATGGAGTTTTCAATGAAGAATTGGTTAAATTCTGAACTTAATATTAGGTCTATTTACTTTAATGCACATAATCCTGCACGTCAGATAGTATGCTAAGTGTCAAAAAAAATGCTGTACACATTTTTCTTTTCTCGAAAAGAAATAAATTCACTGTGAGTGTTTAAACTGTTATGGATACGAAAAGCGCAGTGTTGTAGGGACAAAAAAGAAGCGAATCTGGGGCTATCTGGGGAAATCTGAAGGCTTCCTGGAGGATAAACTAAACTGAGTTTTACCAGATGAATGAGAATTAAAAGCCACAAGAAGACAGACAGAATTAGTATGGCGGGCAGAAGGGACAGTGTCAACAAAGACAAAGAAGTGGGAAAAAGCACACCGTGTATTAGGCCTATACTCAACTGTTTTTCAATGCTAGAGTCCAGAAAGGAGGCGGCCTCGTTCCTAAAACCCCAGTTAATGTTCTCCAGATGTGGTGTGGACCCAACTGAAAAGTGAACCCCTTATCCATCTAAGTTCTTTTGTTGTATGTGTATTTCTCTCCGTATGCACTAGTGAAATCATTGGATTTAAACGTGGATTATTTTTTCAAAAATGGGCCAACCCTCTCCAAATCTTAAACTTCTCTCTCAGTCACATAGTAAAACATATTTTTGAGAGGTTGATTTTAAAATGGTTTGGTTTGGAGTGAGGATATATTTGTATGTAGAAAACAGAAAAACAGACTGAATAATATGGAGATATTTATTTTTTTATATAACAAAGCTTAGGTCAGTTGTATCACTGGTAATTTTAATAACTGAATGAAATTCATTAACATTTCTCTCATTAATATATTTAACTGTGCTGATTTTTTTTGTCAGCTTGACACAAACCTAGACATATCTGGGAAAAGGGACTCTCAATTCAGGAATTGTCTACATCAGATCACCCTGTAGGCAAGTCTCTGGGGGCATTTTCTTGATTAGTAACTGATGTGAGAGGGCCCAGCCCATTGTGGGTAATGTCACCCCTACACAGGTTGGTCCTGGGCTATATAAGAAAGAAAGCTGAGCGAACCATGAGGAACAAGGTAATTAGTAGTATTCCTCCATGGACCCTGCTTCAGTTCCTGCCTCCAGGTTCCTTTCCCGACTTTCTTCAGAGACAGGCTGTAACCTGGAAGTGGAAAATGAAGTAAACGCTTTCTCCCCTAGGTTTCACTTAGTCATGATCTTTATCACAGCAATAGAAACATAAATAAGACATTGTTTTTGACATGTAAGCAACTCCCTTCATGCTCACCAAATGGCTTTAGCAGCTTCACACGTTGCTTATATATGCAACAAGTTCTAAAGACACAGAAATGAATTAAAAGGCTGTGTTTACAGTCTAAAGCAGTTTGGTTTTTCATTCTAACACTGAATTACCTATGTTAGTTAGACTTTTTTTAAGTAGTAAAATCCTCTCCAGAAAATTTACCTGTATTCCCAAAGATTCCTACAGATCATATTCACTGTGATTATGTTATATGCAAGGGAAATGTAACATCATTGGCTTAATTTATTTTAAACTGTTCTCTGGGCTAGGGAAGGATGCAGTTCCCTCTGGTGAGTATGATGGGTAAAATCTGAAAAAGTAATCTGGGGCCAAATTTCCAAGTGGCAGCTAATAGTGTCTATAAGCCATTGTTTTCCCCCCTTCAAGGTCTCTCTCTCTCTCTCTCTCTCTCTCTCTCTCTCTCTCTCTCTCTCTCTCTCTCTCTCTCTCTCTCTCGTGTGTGTGTGTGTGTGTGTGTGTGTGTGTGTGTGTGTGTGTGTGTGTGTGCAAACATGTAAGTGTGTGAGAGAGGGCATGTATGATGTACCTACACATATATGTGCGGGTGTGTACCTGTAGAGACCAGCAGAAGATGTTAGGGGTCCTGCTCTGTCACTGCCTCGTTCCCTTGGGAGAGGATCTCTTACTGAACTTGGAGAGTCAGGGGGTAAAGGAACATCACATATCTAGACGAGATGAAACTTTCCAGATTCAGGAGGGCCCCTTTCCAACCTTCTAGAAGCAGTGACCAACTTTGAGGGGAGGAGAGACCTGCTAAGCTGCTGAAAGGGGAACTTTCAGACCTGTCAAGCCTGCAATTCACGGTCTGGGGGTGAGTAGGTAGGTGTGTGTGTGTGTGTGTGTGTGTGTGCGTGTGTGTGTGCGCGCGGAACATGTGTGTGTGCGCGCACGCGTGTGTATGTGCACACGCATGTGTGTGTGTCCACACACATGCACATATGTGTATGTGTGTTTGCATCCTCCCAGGAAAAGGTCTCTCCCACACCAGCAGCCTCTCAGAAGCTTTCAGGACTCCTTTCCTAGCTGGCTCTGCTTCAACTGCTTCTGAAGCAGCCAGGTTTGACTTGTGTTTTGATAGGATCTGGAGAATAGCTCTTGGAGTTGCTGTTACTTTTGGTGGAGTGGGTGTTATTCTAGTATGAACAAAAAAATTATAGGGGAAAAGGGGCTTGCAAAATTCTCATAGTGCTCATCTGAATTTAAAATTAATGGAGTACAATCATTAACTTATAAATCATTTGACAAAACGATTTCTTGTTCATAATAGATAATGTGTGGCTTTCAAAGCAGTGTCATTCTTTGTAGCAGGGATTTTCACACCTTGGCACCTACATTCTGAACTCTTAGTGAGACAGAGTTACATAGTGAAACTCTGTCTCAAAAAAAAAATGTTGCTCTCCTCACCATCCTGGACTTGCTTCAGCCAGGCCTTCGCACAGCCTAGCATGCGGCCAGGGACCATTGCTCTGGCTCGGCTCCATCCTGAACTCCACTTTGACTTAAATGTTATAAATGGTGTGAGGTCTGTTTCAACTTTCTGGCTTTGATATGTTTGTGTCCAATAGCACTTGCTGAATAGTCCAATATCCCTTACCATGTTGGCATTAATCCTTGGTCAAAGGTTTAATTCCAAATAGTTGACGTACTCTTGACCTAGAACAAAGCTGCATGCATCCCGTTTTCTGATTTTAAATGATGTGGAAACCATTGACAGTCATGTCAGTGTGGTACTGGCATAAAACCTGGTTTATAGGCCAATGGAACAGAATAGAAAGCCAGGCACAAACCCAAGTGTGCATAATCAACCAATTCCCAAAAAAATACACCAAGAATACACAAGAAGAATTGATATTTTCTATGGTAAGTGATTGTCTCAGTTGGGATTTCTATTGCTTGTGATGTAACACCATGACCAAAAGCAAACTGGGGAGAAAAGGGTTTATTTCACCTTATGGGTCCACATCACAGTCCATCACTGGAAAAAGTCAGAGGAGGACGAAACTGAAGGAGAAGCGATGGAAGAGTGCTGTGTACTGGCTTAGTCACCCTGAGTTGCTTAGACTTCTGTCTTAGAGTAGGACCACTAGCCCAGGGGTGGTACCATCCCTAGTGAGCTGGACCTTCGGACACCTATTATTAGTCAAGAAAATGCCCACATTTTCTCAATTGTGGGTCCCTCTTCTCAGATAACTCCAGCTTGTGTCAAGTTGACAACAATAACTGGCACAGTAATTTGGGGATAACAAGATCTTCATATGTAAAGAAATTAGATCTTCACTGTACATCAGACACAAAAAATCAATTCAAAATGGAATGAAGAGTTATAAGGCCACAAACTAGAAAACAGATGAAAAGTTCCTGAGCAATAATTTTTCAGATTCAACACCTAAGACACAGACAATGAAAGCTGACATAAACCCGTGACACTATGAAAAACATGTTTGCACAGAGAAGGGTCAACAGAATGGAAGAAAACATTTGGAGACCATATACCCAGTAAGAGCAAATGTAGAAAATGCACAAGTAACTCATTTGACTCAACAGCAAAAGCAGACCAGCAAGCAAACCAAGCCCCCGAATAACCCAATTTTAAAACAAGAGGAATTTAGACAAGAGGAAAACCAAACCAGATGCAGGCATAGCCAGCAGATGCCATCTACCTAGGACCAAAGATGGCAGTAACTATATACTTTATATCAGTCACCAGTCATAACCTAATTAAACATTGCATGTTGCACTGAATCGCTGAGACTGTGCAGCTAAATCTGACACAAAAGTGTTGTGCTGGGGGTGGCTTCCTATCAGTTTACGGACATGCTATTCCAAGACTCCATCGCTTGAAGAAAGTGAAACTCCAAGCTAAGCTATACCACATACATACCCAGAACTTCAAGTTACTACAAGCAGTTTTCAACAGGATGGGTGTGAACAAAATCACTTCGGTGGATAAATTAGTAAAGGGAAAGTTTGGGGGAAACTGAATTTGTCAGATAGTTCAAGAAGCTACTAAGTCGATAGGCTGTCTGCAGATTTTCACCACTCCCTCCTCTCCTCCAAATCCAATCCCTCTGTCTTACCCCAGCTCTGGAGTAGAACACCTGCTGTGGCTTCCCTTACCTCCCTCCCTGCCCCCCATCTCCAGTGGATCTTACAGATCTTCCCTTTAACCCCCTCCCTCATGACCACCACCACTCATCACTTTATCTCAGCTCCAAACTCCAGCAGGCATTCCCTGGGAACTTGCAGAACGCTTATTCCAGGAAAGCAGGCAGGCTAACTGTACATCTTTACGTCTGCCTCCTCTCCTCTAAATCCAATCCCATTCCCCACTTTACCCCCAACTCTGTAGCAGACAACTTGCTACATCCTGTTCCTCATGGTCCCCATTTCCAGTTGATCACACAGATCTCCTCCAACCTCCTTAAACTCATCTTGTTATCCCAGCCCTGAATTC